ATCGAAAAATGAACTTGTCTGGCGAACTCAGGCTGTTGAATGACTCCTACTCACAAAGAAGCATATTATTTGGATGAAATATGACCCTGGTGACCCTAGGCGGCCCAGTGACCCAAAACACCCTGCACACATAACTTACCCTGTACACACGGGCTAATTAGCAATTTTTTTGTTTCATTTTATGTAGCATCGAGTGTGGAAATCCTCCACGACCTGGAATGTAAAATTGCAAGGCTTGGAGTGCACGGCTTGGCCGGGAAAATGACCCTGAATTGTTGACCTTTGACCTCTAATATCTCAAAGGTGAAAGGTCATGAAGAAAAATGGACCTGACTGGCGAACTCAGGCTGCTGAATGATTCCTACACACAAAAAATCGTATTATTTGAACGAAAAATGACCGTGGTGACCCAAGGTGGCCCAGCGACCCACCGGTGGCAGGGCCACCAAACTCCGTCGTCCTGATGCCCCACCCCTAGGAAGCCTAAGTTTAAAGTTTCAGGGTCAGGGATCAAACCGTCTAGGAGGAGAAGTGACTACGCACAGACACTTACGCTCATTAGTAAGGTAGATGGGCAGCTGCAAAAATATCTCCCGGTGAAGGGTCTCCAGACTTGCAAATGTGAAAGAGACGTTGTAGATTGATGCAAATCGGTGTGCAAGAGTTCGAAGGTAGGACTTTAGCACTTAATACCAGTTGTCCAATCAAAACCGAAGAAGGGCGAAGGCAAATAAGTAAGGCCAGAGAAACCAGGCAAAACTAAATAATGACAAGCATAAGGAATAGTTCAAGCACGTCACAGGATATCCGCGGTAGACGCCGCTCTCAAAAACGTTCAACCGGCTATGTCAAATCCCGAACTTTCGATATTGGGAAAGAAATTTCCTTCTATAAATATTATTCGTTAATCAATTACTCGATCGCTAACAGAGGAAACGACACCAAGTGAAAAACCGCAACAGGCACAGAGTCACGGGCAACTGCTCGATCACCCATGGAATGGAAGAGATAGACTGAAACAGGCCATATATTATAAAGAGAGAGACAAGTAAGGCCTGGCAGTGGCAATGGCAATAAAACCTCGAAGATGAAAGAGGGGCACGTTGGAAAAAGTTGAGCCCTAGGTGAGGAAAAAAACACATAGGAACATTCCTGACTTAATGATGGTTTTTAAATTGAAATTAATAAGCCAACATCATAGTAGAGTTATTGCAGGCGTCTCCTGCAATATATTCATACCTCATGAACGAAGATGAACAAAATCGGAAAAATGATTCACGCTCAAGAAGTCCAATAGTGCAAAACTTATTTAAACCCTCACAGGGATTTCTCTTCTTCCTCTAATTTATTGAGAACTGTGGTAATCTGAGAGTAGTTTCAGGAATAGGTTAATATATTCCTCGATATATCCTACGTCAAATTACTGAAGAAAATGTAACAATTTCTCATTTTTAAACTTATTTCAAGGTTTCAAAAGTCATAACTGAAAACGAAATTATGCGAAGTTATTTGTATTTCATGATAGTTTCCTTCAATGGTAACATCAAAAGCAAAAAAAATAATGAAACATAAAATGAAAACGTTGAACTTACGAGAGAGTTTCTCCCCTATGAGGACAATTGGTCTCTTAAGGAGTTCCGCTCCTCGCTGCATTAGAGAGTGAGAGTCTGCCAGATCCTCATCGCCCAATATTTTCTGCGTGAGATAGTAAAACACAGTACTGAATCAGCATTGTTAGCGTATCTATATATTCTACTTCAATCCAGTATACGCAGAAACGAAATACGCGATACGAAAACAAAGTACTTTCTGTCTCTTCTTTTAAATGCCCTCAGAGGGAACCCCATGTGAGAAACAGCACTCGTCAAAAGTATTCCAGCCGCTCCTAATCTTATCAGACGAAGCGATTAAATGATTGCATTTATAAACGGTTGTTTTGATGCAATTGTATTTTTGCACACAGGACACCCTGATCGCAAATGCAATATATAATCACCATGCCTTTCAATAATTAATGAAGCACGAGTTTCATACTTTGTACAAGTCTTATAGCCAAGTCCATTGGGGGTGCCTGCCACTCCCATCTGATAGCCGGCACCCAGGATCGATAAATTGTGAGGTTTTTTCTTTTGCAACCACATTTTTAGTAGTTTCCACAGATTTTCCACCAGGTTGAGGTCGAGCGACGCGGCTGGTTTTCCGACCCCATTCTCTGCTCTCCACTACGTAGCCAGCTTTGACTTGTGCTTCGGGTCAATGGCTTCCTGCAGTTTCCACCATGTCAATTCGTGACGGAAAGCTCCTTCGCTATCGGCAAGAGGCTGCGCTCATAAAAGTTGTGCAACAGGTGCGGCGTCCAGGTTTCCTTGGTAGGAAAAGGTCCTACCACAGCCTTTGCTCGAGATACAACTCTACACCTTGCCTTTGGTGGGGTGCTTTAAGTTTTAAATTTTAGGAATTTATTTTTCCTCCAGATTTTCCTCCACACGCCCGTTCACGTGATGCAGATGCACCACTGTCTCATCTGCGGCAACGTTGGCCTGTGATACGACAACTCTTAATGTGCGCGGAGTATGCATTCAGAGTTTGCACATTGAAAACATTGTTAACATGAGATCCCCTACATGAAACGTAACTGGATTTCCGAAACGAACTTCTTTTTTTTTTAAGATAACGTCTGTACATATTTTATGGGATGCTAGTTCAAATGTGCACACATATTCCGCGAGGTAATTTGTGAGGTATTTCTACGATGTATTTTGCAGACTTGTTAGGTTGAGAATCCAATTCTTTAAATCCTATTTATTTTCATATTAAATCTGTAAATAATTGAAGCTGATTGCACGAACTACTTCACGATTATTTAAACTTGACTTGCAGATGGTTTTTTTTAAGCAGAAGAATGGTTTCTATTTTTTTTGCAGAATTTCAGATATTATAGAATAGGAAATGACAACATTTATGGAACAGTAACTAATCTCAAACTTTAAAAAATCTAGATGTAAAAAATTGACCTTTTTGGTTCGTAGTCATGGACAACAACACGGGAAGTTCAGGTGATGGATGGCAATAGATAAAAAAATTAATGATATGCGTCGGGATGAAAACATTTTCAGTTGCAAACGCAAATGTCAGAAACATAGTTTTTCCCCATAGTTTTAGTTTCAACTTTCGAGTAGTTTAAAAGACAGTCATGTTCATGAATTTTATACGCCACTGAATTACACTACATCAGTACAAAGGACGTATGCAGAAACGCTGCACCATGAATGGAGGCACATGTTCACATCTATTGGCTGCTCTACCCATGTTTATGAGCCCGATCTCACATGCAGTCAAATTATTCATTGGTTGAAAGATACTCCAGTTCCATCATGTTTTTGGATACACATCATGACAATAAAATGACGGTAAATAGTTGGCTGCTGAAGTGGAATGAGAGATGGAGGGCAGAAAGATTGACATACCTTTAAGAGAGGAAAGTGAAAGAGGGATCCTGTGAGAGAGAGGGACAGCGACACCAAAGTTCCTCCTCCGTTCCTCTCTGTACGCAGGACCACTGGGGGATAGTCCTCATCCTCCCACTTCACTCCCTTCTGCTTCAGGATCTCAATGATTTTCCTCCTCTCATCTCCACGAATCCGGGATACTCCTCCTTCATATTCTGAGAGGAAAATAGTTACGTCTCAAGGATGGTTCAGATCTAAAGGTCTTCTTGTTTGCTACTTGTATAGCAATGGCGTTTACGAAGTCAATGTTGATTCGGTTGCGTACTTTTTTCGCTCCGAGCTTCCATTTGGCTGAATAAATATTTGCAGTTTATTCTAAATTTGAAATTACGACACCAGTCTACAGTCATTCCCTTGTTTGCATAAAATTTGACAAAAGCTTTGAAATCTTTTTAAAAATCCATGCACCAGAACATGTTACATAATATGTAAGGACCTCAAAGGTAATTTTCCATACACTTTAAATGAAAAGATAATTTTAAAATATAAAGATAAGAAAAGAACTCGTAATCGAGATATTTGATTATCGAAATCTTTACTGCGATGATTCCTTATCTGCTTAACTTCACATTTCTTTGCGGCCCTGTTTTGCATAACGGAAAATAAAAATTTAAATATTTTTCTCCCATAATTTGCATTGAAGAAATACATTTCGAGAGTAGGATTTTAATGGCACTCAGCAATCGAACAGGTACATCTGAGCCAAGTTTCAACTTTCTACCGCTCTCTATTTTGTTGAATTGAAAATAATCCTTGAAAATGCGCCTCTCATGAAATATATGCCCTGAAGGATTTTACCTTAAAAAAAAATTATTTTTACTAAAATTGGTACTGAGAGATCTCCAAGCCCTCTAAGTTTCCATCTTATACCTTGTAATTTTCGCTGGTGAAAAAATATAAATGTATTTGGAAAGACTACCCACCCAAAAGATGCACTCTGAGGGGATGCATCGCAAAAGTTGAAAATTTCCTGTAAAATTTCACTCCGTCAATTGTGTGTCAAGTTTCACCTTTCCTTTTATTTCAAAATTATTTCAAAACGCAAATAAATATGGCCCCAGGGGATGTATTGGAAAATTGACCTTTTTCCTGCAATCAGTGTCAATAGTCACGTTCATGCCAAATTTCTGCTTCCATGTCTCCCCGTTTTATTGAAGCCAAAAAAATTATTTGAAAGCCTTTCCCCCCAAAAGGTGTGACCTCGGGAAAACTATCTCGAAACTGAATTTGCTGGACTCTGCATCCCAATAGATACTTATTAATCCTTACAAAGTTTCATCCTTCCATCATATCTAGAACATACTTAGAATTAGAGTCAGTCAGTCACGATCGTCGATATATATATAAAATACTAGTGAGTTTGTTTTCGCGCTTCGGGCAAACAAACTCGCTATGGACACGCCTTCGGCGCTCTGAGATCTAAGGCATCTGTTTTCGATGCTCACCCCTACTAATGCGGTCAAACTCCTTTGTTCATGGGTTCAATTCTCGCACCTTAAAGGTGTTAAAGAACATTATTAATGACGCCATGTCATTTGTAGCATAAGGATCACCAATTAACAATTGTAAGTGTGCCGTTTAGGGTTCCATTGGTGTATTCAATTCCTGTCTATGGTCGAGGCACTCTTAATAGCGTATCAATATCCAAAAAAGTAGGAGTAAAAGCAGCCATATGAACCACATAAGCCACTTGAGAGTTTTAACGCTAATATGGCTAATATTAAATATCGTAGCAGGCCTGAGAAATCGTCCAAGGGTTGGATATAAGCCTACTGAATCATTCCCATCNCTGGAATGAGCCCCCAGGGCACTTACCCCCAAATTTGGCATTTTTCTGGAGTCAGCAATCTAACAACTATGTGTGTACCAAGTTTCAGCCTCTCATCATGTCTAGAACATGGTTAGAATTTGCGTCAGTCAGTCAGTCAGTCAGTCACCATCGTCTATATACAGTATATTAGATAACATACAAGCCCGGTCATGTGACCATACATGCATACCTCCCATATTGGGAGGAACTGACGACGCAAGTATTCGTGTCGGATTGCGTTATTGCATTCAAAGCTGCTCATTTGCTGACTTTGCTAGTAGAATTTTGCTTTTTATTAGAAACAAGGAACTGATCAAATGAAACTTCCCTCCTTGTAGACAACATTCGATGCAAAATGTGAACCATTTATCATTTGACCTTGTTTAATGGAGCTAAGGAGTTTCAACTTGACGCAGTCAAAAAGATCCGACTCGTGAGAAAGCCACATACAGTTGGCCACGGTAGTACACCGGCTGGAGTAGGAAAAGCCCTATTCGGTCGAAGGTCATGTGCCTCGTTGATGGTCATGGCGAGAGCCATCAGAATCTGGAACTGGCGGCGCTTCTGAGTTATGGGCAGGTTCGTTTCGGACGGAGCCTGGTCAATCTTTGGTATGAGGACTCGCTCTCCCTTCGCACCTACAGTTAAGACTTCGGCATCTGTGATGTTGTTCAACATGCGACGGACGATCAACCGCGTTCCGTTGCATAGCCCTTGTTTTGTGTTGAGGTTTTGAAGGAGCATGAAGACGGCTCCAGAAGGAAAGCTCTGGTTCAGCTTCCATCACTGGTTTCTTGTAACGTTTCACATGCATAGATGGCAATGCTTTCTGCTTGGTGGCCTCCAATCCTAAGAACGGAGTGGCCTAGACTCGGGAAAAAAAAGATGCAACTCGGCCAGGTTTCAAACCGTGGTACCCAATCCTCAGGACACGACGCGCTACCTCCGAGCTCCTAACTTAACCCGTCTCTTCGCGACAGTAGATGTCGTAGCTCTTCGAATTTTAGTCGCTTTGCGACTAAAATGAGACCTGTAACTTTCTGAGGGTTCAAGTTTTCCATCGATACCGGATTCGCTCGGATGCGATGAGCGGTAGATGAGGAGTTCCCGGACAAACAGACAACGGTATTACAAGTGGCAGGTAAGCCTGCTACAAACTGGAGGTAACGAAATGCTCTGTTATCGTCGAAGTAGTCACCCCGAACGTGTTCAATGAACGTTTCATTTAAGGTACTGTCAGCGTTCCATGAAAATCCATGGGAACGTTGTATAGATTGCTTAAATATCCGAAATTCAGAGCGATCAAAAACAGGTCAATTCAGACGTTCCTTGAAATATGTGAATCATATAGGACGTAAATAGGATATTTCAAAGAAAAAGAAAGGGTTCTATTAACGTTCTTTTTCAGGCTTCATCCAATATGCAATTAACGTATTGGATACGTTCTTTCTTTCACTTACATTGCATCCAGTCTAAGTAAAGCCCTGCTCCCGTGGCAAGGGATCAGAGAAGATTATGGAGCCGTCCGTTGTGTCTTCCCTTTTATGGAATAGTCTGGTGGAGAAGCGTGTGGTAATTATCATTTTACGTAATCCTTCATCATATCGGCAGTTACCTAACTGTCAAGTAGCAAGTCACGCTCAGCAATGAATCTGCTGACTCACAGGATCAATTATAATCATTTTCATTTTTCCGACTCGCTCTTCTACCGCGTGAAGCGACTTTCGAAATTGAACCATCTTCCCTCTATCTTTCGAGCCAGAGTTATCTGACGACTCCTTTGACTGGGTTACTGCTGAAGACCATTTTGTGGAATAATTAGAATATTTCCCCCTCTGATTTATGAGGGGAAAGATCGGCTAGCGTGTGGAAGGTATTTTGGACAATTTCAGCAGCATCAGGAATAAACCCGAATGTGCGATTACTTTGGCGTCATCTAGCGTCGGTTATGCGAACTTTTGCTTCAATCCGTTGTCAGATGGATACCACCGATATACCATATGCATATACATATCTATAATGTTCAACCCATATCCTTCAAATGCCGCATGTTTTGTGATCAAACGACACCTTAACTTAGCGCACAAAAGGTGCTCATCCGTGTACATCGGACGTCTGAAATGGAACACAATGTGAACGTTCATGTGCTATATGGGCACGGTCATAAGTTTAAAGCCTGTAGGTCACATTTGACAAGTGATTATCCTTGACACCAGACTCTGCGAATGGAGCATTGTGTTATCAAAGGTGAAGAAAAAGAAATCAGTAAAATCCCGCAGCTGAAACGTTAATGCAGCATTCAGCGCGCCGATGTCATTTGTCTAAGCTCATTTCACCTATCAATTAACATGACACCTCGGCACGTCAATGGATCAAAGTGCCCATAGAGCGAAAAAAATCATATTATTTGAAAGAAGCATACTACGTGGAGCGCACCTTCCAACTCAAAAGAGAGTGTTATCCACTGTAATCTACAGCACACCTTCTGAGTGTCGACGCACAGACCCGAGACCGCAGACACAAGAAATAAACCAAACCAAATGTGGGGAGTCCCAGTCTGAGAAATATCAACGGCTAGCATCGTACATCAGCTCATACGTCAGAGGATGACGGGGAACATGCAGCAAACAGGACAGTCATGATTCGCAGATCACCTTTTTATTTTTACTGCTAGCTCCCGGTCCCATAGAGTATACTTAATATTTTTTGTCATCTTCCAACGCGACTGCGATACGGGAAAACAAGAAAACTTTTGATGAACTTTCGCTCTCCATATATCATCATAGACACTTAAAATCATTGCATTCCAGGCAGCAGGCGCTGGGCAATGCAATAAGCGAACCCTTGCGAGTAATAAGGCAACTCTTGTCTCCTCGTTTATGCCAGAGGTGGCGGGACGAGAGTGAAAATGCGATTTTCCGTTAAAATTCCTTCCCCTCCTTTTCGTGAGGCAGATTTGCAAATTTCATTTCCAAAAGGCACATCCTCGGATAAGGAAGAGTTCTGTCGAAACCCCAAGTTCGTATCACTGAGCGTTTGGCCTGTAGAGCTGTCACACCCACACACACAAACACACAAATGCACTATTGTCGCTCGGCCTAGCTAGCGACCAGAATCGCGCACACTATATGTTTCACCTCCGGACCTCGGTTGCTTCGCAATCGAAGTCCTCCGCTTTGAAATATATACAAGTAGATCATTCTCCGTTTATGGCTATACAAGAAAATGCCTACCGCTTACCTCCATACCATAGGAAACCCCAATCAGTCAAAGGAGAAGAATCAGAAGGTAAAGGGAAGACCTTGTTGAGGTCTTCCCACGTGTTGGAACAGAGGGATCGAATGGCACCCGTATTCTCGTCCAGAAAGTCATCCTTTCCCAAAACCTCCTCTCCAAGCCTCAACCCAACATCATCCCAGGTCGGTTCCTGCCACCCCGGAAAGGTACATTCGTAAGTCGGTCGACGAAATATTTCCAAAATTCATCACTAAACGGGAAGGCATATATCCAGAATAAGATAGGTCAGCTGAGGAAAAGCGAGCAAGCCTTGCGTGATCGCTTGCATTTCTATGCTTTTTCAATTTTAGCTACATAGTGAAACATTCTTTTCGAAAAACATTCACTGACTGCTATAATGAATTCCTGACTAATGCAGCGAAAGATAAGACTGGGGGTGCAATCTGAGTAGAGGACTGCATGAGTCGGAAACCGTCGTCTTGTCTCGTTCTGTCACGTGAGTTCATTACTGACAGCCTAGTTTTTCAACTGGAAGTTTTTGATCATATGTCTGATAAAAATGTCATTTTTTTACAAGTAATGGTATATCATGAAATGGTGTCGAGATATCGGGCGGCGGTATATGGAGGGTTGACTACGTCTGATGACATTGGGTGATCACGTGCCTTGATACAGACGTGAATTCTCATTCTACCCAAAGTCAGATATCGGTTTCAGGCAGTGACGGGTTAATATTAATATATGGAGTGTTGGCAGATTGCCAATGGGGGCAAGAAGGACCCGGACCTCTTTTATAGTCTCTCCGGTTCAACTTTGCAACGCCGGCATTGCCTTTTTATGGTGGCTCATTAATGCTGTGCTGTCATCAACCTTCGTCAGTCTTGGTCGAGCTTTCGTAGCGTGAGGACGTGTTGGAGGATACTCTCGAGGTTCTGTCAGCTAAGTCGTGAGTTAGTTGTTACCTGGCTACTTTGTAGCAGTATTCATAAGTTTTCTGATAGCTACCTCCAACTTCACATTAGATCAGTATCAATCAGTGTAATTACTTTAATCATTAGCGCATTATTCGTAATATTCCTTTTACTACAAGGACTAGGACAGGACAGTCTTACCGGGTTGCAACTAGTGTGAAGCACTGCAAAGTATCAGTCTAAAGCAGTAGGAGTGTCAATAGGGATCAATAACATTAAGTAAGATGCCTAGGATGTGTAGATGCGTTCGTTGCGGGGATTGGGTAGGTGGGACTAGTGAACGAGAGGTATGCCAGGTATGCAGAGT